CATATACAGTGTAGGAAATAAAATGACTTATATGCAAAGTACACTGAACAAAAATATAAATGCAACACTTTTGTTTTTGCTCCCATTTTTCATGAGATGAACTCAAAGATCTAAAACATTTTCTACATACACAAAATAACCATTTCTCTCAAATATTGTTCACAAATCTGAAAAAATCTATGATAGTGAGCACTTCTCCTTTGCCGAGATAATCCATCCCACCTCACAGGTGTGGCATATCAAGATGCTGATTAGACAGCATGATTATTACACAGGTGTGCCTTAGGCTGGCCACAATAAAAGGCCACTCTGAAACGTGCAGTTTTGCTTTATTGGGGGGGTCTGGGGGGGGTCAGAAAACCAGTCAGTATCTGGTGTGGAGGGTTAGGGTTAGGGTAATGTTGTGAATCGAGTGGCCTGTGTTCGTCGTCCTTAACATACGCCTGCCCATACCATAACCCCACCACCACCATGGGCCACTCGATTCACAACATTAACCTAACCCTAACCCTAACCCTCGCACCAGATACTAACTGGTTTTCGGACCCCCCCAGACCCCCCAATAAAGCAAAAATGCACGTTTCAGAGTGGCCTTTGATTTGTGAACAATATTTGAGAGAAATGGTTATTTTGTGTATATAGAAAATGTTTTAGATCTTTGAGTTCATCTCATGAAAAATGGGAGCAAAAACAAAAGTGTTAGGTTTATATTTTTGTTCGGTGTATGTAAAAAAGCAGCATAAATACATTTAGACAAAACCGACAGGACAAAAATAAACTAATGTAAAAGCGCGAGACAATGAAACCATACTTAAAGCCACCGACTGAAAAACCTCATTTTAAAACACAACAAAATCGAAAAGCCCAATTCAGAAAACCCAGACTGAAACGTGGCCTCCAGAGGCACGGAGCAGACGTATATCTATACAGGAGTGAACTGATTTGAATATGCAGTGACACACTTCTGTTCTCTGTGGCGGCTGAGTGATGCTGACGGTGTGGTTCTTCCTGCAGGGGTGAACGTGTCGTACCCCTCGCGCCCCGGCACCCCCCCCCTGTCCTCCACCCAGCTGCTGGTGAACCCCGAGCTGCAGGAGTTCCAGCTGGTGGATCTGTCCCGACGCTTCCTCAACCTCGACTCCTTCTGGACGCTGCCCCGCCACTTCCTGGGGAGCAAGGTGAGGACGAGGTCTAAAGACCTCCAGAACACACCTGAGCTTTGTTAAGAGCATCCAGACACGTTCATCTGCTTGCATCTTATATACTATATATACTTATATAAGTACAGTCCATTTATTTATCTTCCAAATGACGCATCTAATATATCATTCCATGTACTTGTACACAGACTCTTCTGGCACTATTTCTATTGTGTTTGTCTTTACTCTCACATCTCAAAACATCCTCTGGCACTGTTTGATCAGCTGTATTAGTTTGATGTCCTCTATATATTCATGTTGCTCAGCTGGAGGAGGACTCCAGCTGTTCATTGGCTTATCCGCCCTGCAGCTGCTGAGCTCACGGTGAGAGACACGTGAAACTTGAAGTTGGGTTTGTCATTGACTTTATTCATTGCTTTGGCCTCTCCCGACCCATCTCCAGGGGTCGTCCCCAGGTCATGCAGACGCTGTTCACTTTCAAACCACTGCTGGATTAACTAACAGTGCATACACATGATCACCCAGCTGCAGAGAGCAGCATCATTTGATTATATAACCTGAAACCCTTAATGAGGAGGCATGCTGCCCAAAGAGAGCCAGTAAGTGGTGGTGTCATGTCTGTCACTATATGAACAGCCTGGGTTGGATGAAAACACCCCAAACCACAAGCTCCTGTCTCCAGTCTGCTCCTTGAGGTATCCAGAAGTTATACACATATACATATATACACTTAACAACAATGCTTCTTGGCAACACATCTTATATCGTTGGAAAGCCTGTTTTCTTACCTGAGGAGCAAGAAAACCATTGTTACAACAAAGAAACACAAATGTCCTTCTTTTATAGAAGCACCGTGTCTCAACTCAGGCTGAGAACATCTAAACACAGCCCTGAGCAGGAGCTGCTGCTTGGTTTGTTAGCCCGATATACAGGGACCGATCCAGCATACTGGGTTACATCGTTGAGGCTCCAGAGTGTATCCACGGTTTGTCCCAGATCCAGTCTGTTGGGATGATTGAAGCTTCTGAAACCCTCCTGAGCGATGAACCAGTTCCCCGTCAAAAGATTGAAGGCTTTTATTCTCATGCGTACACACAGTGTAGATTCATCGATGAGAGTCTGAAGTCACAGGCTCCTATTCTGTCTCCAGATCGACTCGTACGGCGGAACTCTGAAGTTTAAGATCCGTTACACTCTGGCCCGCGGTCTCTCAGAGCCGGTGGAGAAGCCCGATGTGATCCTGGTGGGGAACGGACGCCGGCTGGTCTACAAGCGAGGAAAACCCACCCCCGCCCAGGTGGCGAACCAGAGGGAGATCAGCTTCACTGAGGTACCAGAAACCTTTATAATGTGTTTAGGTATATACTAAAGGTCTCAGATATATGCACACACCAAACAGATCATTCTAGCCCACCCCTCTATTTCATCCCTGTTACTAAAGTGCTGATTCTGGGTCTGAAGAATTATGTTCTAAACCACATCAAGGATTATCTCTGAAACAGCATGGAGCTCAAATGCTTTTTCTCTCGTGGGTTTACCACAAGGGTCCCCCGTCTCTAGAGATGTGGGTACGGAGGAAAAGAGAGAGGGTTTTATTTCCTGACACTTTGAGAGTCTCCTGACACACGGGGGACACACCGGGACACACTGGGGACACACGGGGGACACACCGGGGACACACCGGGACACACCGGGGACACACCGGGGAGACACCGGGGACACACCGGGACACACTGGGGACACACCGGGGGGGGACCGGGGACACACCGGGGACGCACCGGGGACACACACCGGAGACACACGGGGGACACACCGGGACACACTGGGGACACACCGGGACACACCGGGGACACACCGGGGACACACCGGGACACACTGGGGACACACCGGGGGGGACACACCGGGGGGGACACCGGGGACACATAGTGATGTATAAAAGACATCACTTTGTGAGTCTCCTGACACACCGGGGACATACCGGGGGGACACCGCGGACACACACCGGGGACACATAGTGATGTATAAAAGACATCACTATGTGCATTTTGCATAATAAGGGACCTTTAATATCAAACTCTAACAAGTCCTTTTGTAACGATGCGTCCCGGTGTGTGATCGATAACGAGCTGTGTGTCCTGCCTGCAGGATAAGTGGCAGCACTCTAACGGGCGACCGGTGACACGGGACGACCTCCTGATGACCCTCGCTGACCTCGACAGCATCAGCATCAGAACCATCTACGATAGTCACATGGTCAGCGTGGCGCTCAGCGACATCGTGATGGAGACCACCACCGTGGAGTTCAGCACCATGGGGCACGCGTACGACGTCGAGGAGTGCAGGTAACAGATATATATATAAAACGTGCAGACATGGAGAGAAACACAGTGCATATCCACATGTATGTGCAGGTAATACATACACATATATACAAGGTGTATATCTGGTTTGAGGAGTGGGGGGGGGGGTCACCAAAGAGGAGGTCTGGGGGTCCTCCACCGGAGAAATGTTCTCGATTTGAATCCAAAATCCCATTTCCTGCATTTCTACAAACATTGAGGGACTGTGGAGATAAACAATCCAAGGAGAAATGGAGTTGGCCATAAGGATTCATCTGCCAGAGAGGAAAGCTGTTCTGGGCGACCGGAGACAATCATTGCGTTTTAAAATGTTCACAATTATTGTTGGCTGTGTTTCAAATACAAATAATGTGAGACTCTAGTTCCACTTTTTATCACAACACTATAGACTCCAAATAATACACTGGAGCTCCCTTTAATAGACCCATCCACTACCAAACAGAAACATATGGACAGAAAGAAGGAAGAGGTTTGAAGGAAACTAAAGTTGTCAAATCCGTTTGTATTTCACAGCTTCAGTTTCCTTCAATGACTCGTTGATCAAGTCCTCTGTTCTCAGTGCCTCTGATTCTCCTGTCAGCTGGTTTTAATCACAGGACGGTCTGTGATCTGTTAGCGCTTTGGAAACACTTTTCCTGAAGAGCGTTTTATTTCTGCTCCCCAGATGTCCTCCTGTAACGCCGTCCACAAAACTAACAGTCATCCATTAACTCTTCCCAGGACTCAGCGTCTCCTGTGAGTCCTGCTGGTGATAGTATTGTGTATTAACAGTATCAATACGTCCTCACATGTCCTCGCGTTTGAACTTTTTTTTTTTTAAACTAATTTAAAATATAAAAAAGGAAGTAATATAAAAAAAACGTACATTTATGTGAAAAATCACAACTAAAACAAAAGTTCAATTCTGAGAGAAATTTCAGAAAACTGCGAAAAAATGCAAATTTCTGAGAGACATTAAATAATCAGGTGTCAGATGTCCCCCGGTTACCCCGGTTACCCTGGTTACTCCGGTCTCTCCTGTGAGTCGTGTTAGTAATAGTATTGTATATTAACAGTATCAATACGTCCTCAGATGTCCCCCGGTTACTCCGGTTACCCCGGTTACCCCGGTCTCTCCTGTGAGTCGTGTTAGTAATAGTATTGTATATTAACAGTATCAATA